ATTAATGTTGTTCGACATGTTTTTTAATAATTTTATATGACATTATTAAATTTTTATGTTATGTTTTGTTTGTAACATTAGCAAAAGTGAAATTGTGTTTTCAATTTGTTGGTACTTGAAGTTTATTTACTATTACATCGTATTATCAATTTGGTTCGCAATGATTTATAATCATTTGAAATGTTATTATCAATGTTTTTATTCAAGCACAATACAACCATTAGCAAAAATTTATTTCATTTGTAAGATTGCTTATGTTTAGTGATTTGAATTATTAATATGTTTTTGTTTATGCTTGTAACTTTGTCAAATGTCATTATCAAGAAGCATACTTGTTAGGTATTCGTCTGTTTATGACATTAGCAAAAGTGAATTTACGTTTAATGATATAACTATGGTTATTAATCTTTCAGTCTAAGTTAGTAACGTAGTTGATGTCATTATTAATAGGTGTGTATAAGCATTATCAATGTTTGAAAAATAAGATATTAATAATATCTACTAAGGTACTTAACAATCATTAGTTGCTATCATTATCAAAGTTTTTGGATGCATTATCCATTAACACATGTTACTTATTAATGCGTTTTTAGTGCTATTTGACGTTAACCATTGCATCTGAATATTATTAATATTTTTTATTACAAAAATCTATTTCCTTATCAGTGACTTGATCATTCGATATTAATGGTTTTTAATATCTTTATTAAAATTTTGATTTCATTTATAATATTGAAGTCGGACATTTTTACATTGATGTTTTGTGTTTATTTTCAACGAAATACTTTTCGTTATCAATGATTTATTGTATTGTAATTAAAAGTTTGGTGTTGAGGTGTGAATGTTGGTTTGCTTGAGCTAATATTTTTTTAGACAATGTTTGTTTGACTGAATCACACATGTGCACTATGTCACAAGTACCCAAGATGTTGAAAATCAGTATTGTGCTTTATGATCATTGAGAATGATCATGTAAAGCAATATTAATTGATCATAAAACGTTAATAATGTCATTACAAATCATTGGAAGAGCCCATGACTAGATAGTTATAAACATGACGTGAAAATGTGAATCATTGGTACTAAAGATGTTGTAAATCAATGATATTGTTATTCAAACTGTTAATGACCATGTTACATAACTTTAATGATTCATTCATAGGCGTTGATGACGAAACTATAAAACAGTAACAATTGATCCAAAATTGTTAATAGTGTAATTGTAAGGAATTGATAAGTATATTGAAGTCGTTAATAATGATGAAGTATAATAATAACGATTCATTTCATAAATGTTAATATTGTTATTGCAAAATGTTAATACTGTATTGCAAGTTGCCACAAAGTGAGAGAGCATATATTTTTAATTTTCAATTTTCATTTTAAAAAATTAAAATATTAAGTTCGAATTTATTAAATATTAAATAATAATATTTAATTAAATTAATTTCGAATTTCCTATTAATTGTAGTGGAGAGAGAGGGTTATGGATAATATCAAGGGGGAGAGAGAAAGAGAATCATTAATGAGTAATATTAATTATATTTTCATAATATCTTATTTATTCCAACTAATTATTAACTACTAACCCCTATAACTACCTAATCTAGTATCAGCCAATAAAAATGATTTAAGAACCTCCTTGAATAATGAGACTTAAGGACCGGATCCAACCCGCCCCATTTTCCAATTCTGCCGCTTCGAGAATTAGTCGAATCAGTTGGCAACCTCCTCTGGATGAGTGGGCTAAACTAAATTGACGAGAAAGTCAAAACAAACCCTCTCTCATAAGCCATAGGGAGTCTGGCTCGAGATTTAGTTCAAACTTGGATTATTGGTTTCTCCACTCATGTAAGCATATGTGTTGTTTAAGAGGTGAAACTCAAAGCTATCCGAGATGGGCTTACCCTATTGCGGGTGATGGTTATCGTACAATGGTGGTACACTTGTACTCACATAATGAAGTTCACCTCATTATCTCGTAGGAGAAGTTCCACCCTTTGAGAGCTTTATTGGTCAACTGTTGAACTTTGTTGAGACACTCTTGGGAAATGCAACTATCACATACTACGTGACACTAATACGATCACAGATGCTATAACAAATATCGACCACAAATTTGGATATGGAGCACATTTTTGGTTGTTACCTCCTTCATCGACTATGCCAATGTTTGAATTATATAGTTTCTATGCTATAGTCATTCCTTCTCTGCCTGGAGCTAGTTTCTTTGCTTTGGAGTTGTCTTATTCTAGACTTTAATATCCATTGTATAAAAAAGCCATATATTTATGAGGAACCAGTCACCGTCCAATAAAAAGGGAGAAATATTCTTATAAACCAATGTATTTTCTTAAAACATCTTCGATATTGAGCAGTCAAGGGCAACCTCATCATTCCAAGTTAAGGAAACAAAGATCAATAAAAATGAAAATTCTACGGAGATAAAATGTATGAGAGGGCTATGCAATCGTGACCATAAATTCAAGCAAAGCAATCGAAGGAAATTCCCTCCAATTTCTTATGTCCACCATCTCCTTTATCTACTTGTTCCTTATTGATCAATCAACACTAATTTGCCTCCACCACCCCTCCCCCAACCCAACACAAATTCCAAAACTCATCCAATTCCACAATCTAGCGTTTTGGAATAATTGAAGTTTTCTCTTTCTGGGCTCCTTTTTGCTCAGGTATTCACTAGTGCCCACTGTTATTCTTACACGAAAGTAAGTTAGTTGCAAAAACGAATGCATCTTAAATAAATTCCTCTCCTTTTATAATGTTGTCTCCCCAGCCTGATATGTTCGCTGTCATACACATCAGCTAGCCCATTGGGTTTGTTTTCATGGGCCCTTCCGTACCCCAAAGCCACATGACTCGTCCCCAAATCTCCCATTTGATGATAACCCAACCCCACACCCTAAAAAAGGGCTCCAGTCAGTCCTTCGATAGTTAGCTCGATTCCACCACCTCGGCCTAGGATGTTTTGATTCGGTGTTGATTGCCTGCCCCCAAGACTCCGTCCCACGCCAAATCCTGGCCCAAGTCGGCTCGTCCCACTCATAAAGCCACTATTGTGTTGGATGCCCGGCGGAATCTCTCTTTGCATTGTCGACTCTTTTCTCATGCTCACCTGTGGGAAAAACCCATAAATACATTAATAATTAAAAAAAATTCTCAAAATACCAGAGTTATAACAAAATCCCCAAACTACCAAAGTTTGGATCTGTTCGAGTGAGTTATAACAAAATACCAGATCAATCCGAGTACATCGAGTTGAAGGGACTCGATTGGTGGCTAGGGACGACACAGATAAAGGGAGTTGTGCTCGATCTGTGATGCGTGGTGTGCATCGACAACAATGGACTCGATGCGCTTTGATTGGCCAGTGGATGAAGACACGGATCGATCTCTTCATCCTTGCTCAACCGTTGATCGAGTGTGTTGGACTCGATCTACACCGTTCGATTTGCTCTGCCTCGAACAACAGAACGACACAAATCGAGTGTCACTAACTTGATGCACCTAGATCAAGTGGTATTAACTTGAACCACTTCCTCCCCATAAACCTATAAATACACCTCCCATTCTTTATCCCATAGTGGCTACTCATGTCCATCATGTTCAACCAATGGACAAGGTGCAATACGAGCCTCATATCCTGACCATGGATTATCATTTGGACCACCGAAATCTCCTAAACTGTAAACTCCACCCGAACCTTCACCGTGTTTGGTATAACCAACACCACCATACTGGCCAACCTCTTCCGCCTCAGCATTATATTAATGTCATCATCGTTAGATAGAATTGAACCTTCATATACAAGTGAAGATCCTTCATATATAAGTAATCTTGCATACTCTTTGACCCCCTATGCAACACCGTTCCACACAAATGGGGCAAAGATCCTGCCAAGTAAATATTCTCTCAATCCGAATAGTACTTGATTCTTCATCTTCGTAGTCAATATTATTATGAAAATTTGTAATTCGACCATTCCACTAAATCAATAGGTTAAATTTTCGAAATTTCCTACTCATTTATGCAGTTTAAAGTAGCATAAATTACATATACTAAATATAGTCTGCATGCATTAATCCAAAATTATAATGCTCACTCAACTAACATAATCAGAACTTACCTCAAAATGCTTCTTCTTTGCTCTGTTATGGTGCTCCAACGATTGCAGTTTGTGTTTGGAAGAAAGAAGATAGAAATTATATGAGCTGCCAAAATATGCTGAGAGCTGGCTTTTTATTTTCATAAACTGAAAAATAAAGATGTTGTAGTTCGAGTGTAAGGGACTCAATCTACTAGCACCAATAATCTTATCCCTACACCCCATTCTGAAGCATGTCGGGCAGGAAGCGCCAGAGTAGAATAATTGGAGGGTGGTTCGTGGCCAACCCAGTAAAACTGCAGTTAGAGTCCTAGAAACTCTATGTATATGCTTTTAAACGAGTCCTACTCCCGCGATCAATGTGGATCGGGACCAAGAAGCTCGAACAAACTTCGGTCCGACATACAATGAGTTCTATCTGATCGATCCACCCTTGACCGAGTAAGAGCAGCTCGATCTAGGCTTGATCGAGTTTTACTCCCTCGATCCAGTTTAGCCATCCACTAGTTCGAGTCCAATAGCGTTGAACCGCTTTGTGGTTAGAGTGTCTCCAACTCGAACCACTTCAAACTTTGGTATTTTGAGAATTTTATTGAAAGTTTATCAAATTCTTTTGGGCAAATACAATTTATTAGCCAAACCTTTCATTTTAAACAAATAATAGCCAAACATTTTCAAAAACAATTTATTAACCAAATCGTTAACTTTCCATCCGGTCAACCGTTAGTTTACTGTGACGTGGCAATTTGGTTGTTGAGTAGGAAAAAGTGGGTGACTTGGCATCAAACACTAAACTAAATAAATAAATTTTAAAAAATTAAAAGAAATTAGAGATCTTTTGTTGCGTTAACTTTTGATCGCTCGAACTCCCCAATCGCCCAACCCTAATTTCATTTCCTCCTCTTTTGTTGCCGTTAGCTCGACGACTCTCCCGTCGTCCTGGAGCTGCTCGATGAAAATGACAACGAGCGACCGATGAGAGGAGGTGGCAACGGGGGCAGAGCTTCCTCTGGCGGGTAGGGAGGAGGCAGAGAAGGAGGTCATGCATCTCGAACTAGGCAAGCTTATCGAGGTTGGCCAGATGCCTCTTGTTGCAATCGGTGGTGACAAGGTTCTTCGAGATGCGATTATCCACTTCCCGAAAGGGAATTGCAGGCAGGAGTGGGAATCAATCGACGAGAATCAAGGGTATTTCAAGGTTTTCTCGAGAATCGCAGGCAAGCTGGCAACAACTCTCAAAGTCCGGTAACGATTATGACAAGATTTTCTTCAAAGTCGAGATCTAGGGTTTCTGGAAAAACTCTCATGGTTGGTTCCGATTTAAAATGGGTATTTCATCCCCTGCCTATTCCAGATGCAGTCTTTCAGGTGGAGAAATTATCCCCCGCTTCCGTCCGGAAGCGCCGTGATCTTCACCACCGCGGGGCTCCCGTTCAGATGCTCGTCCCCTGTTCCTCTACCTCCTCCAGGGTGGATTCATGAATCACGAGATTCGCTACCATGACATCGAGCTTGAAACCAGGAGAGAGCTCGGATAGCAGCTGAGTCGACGCGACGTGCTCTTGGTCGTACAGCTCCGCCACAGGCGCCGGATTCATCGCCGGATTCACTGTCGATTTCAACGCTAAAAACAAGTAATCATCAGCCTCTGCTCCGAGTTCCCCTTCCCTCCACTAGACTCTACCCGATATAGGATCTCAGTTGCCGAGGCGCTCTTCCCTTCGTCAACCGTCGCGACTTCCATCAACACCGGCCTCGTGCAAATCGTCGGAGTCACGGCGGAGGTCGTCGTTGGCGGTGGTGGGACTAGAGGAAGAGAAGGGAGAGATGAGATTCTGAATCGTCTCCGACGACTCCCTTGGCTGCCGACGCAGACTTGGTGCAGGACGGCGATCTGAATTAGTTGGAGAAGAGGTTAGGGAATGTTGGTTCGATGAAGGGAGAGATGGGAAAAAATCCAAAAGTACCACTACTTAAAAAAAGAATTCCCAAAAATACCACCCAACCCCAAAAAATTCCAAAAATACCACCCTTTTTCAAAAACCGCCACCCCACCCTGTAGTTGACACGAAAACCGCTTGTCGGGGGCGCGGTTTTCTATGCAAACCGCGGGGCTAAGGGGCGGTTATAAAAATTTTTTTTGGACCAAACCGCTGGGTGGGGTGGCGGTTTGGTCCAAATTTTTTTTTTTCCCGATCAACTCCTAACTTCGGCCGAAACTTCAAACTAGCCTAACTTTGCACTCGGGTATCCGATCGTAGCGATTTTTTTTTCATTTCGCATAACTTTTTAAGATCTACAACTTTTAATTGGATGAAATTTTCAAAACAGGAATTATTTGTGGATATACGGGACCTTGGGAATAACTTTACCTTTACTTTTCACAAATCCATGTACATTTTGAAATTATGATTATGTAAAAAGTTGTAGATCTTGAAAAGTTATGCGGAATAAAAAAAAATTCATGACATTCGGATTTGGGAGCACAAAGTTATGACTGCCCAAAGTTTGACGAAATAAAAAAAAGACTCGTTCGGGGTTGCAAATGACGTTTTTTCGAGACGAAGGCGGGACCCGCCGGTTCGCGGCTTGCAAGATCTCAAAAATTTATTCGGATTCAAAAAATGGAGGCCGCAAACTTTTTGAGATCTTGCAAGCCGCAAACTGCCGGGTCTCGCCTTTTGTCAAACTTTGGGCGGCCATAACTTTGTGCTCCGAAATCCAAACGTCATGAATTTTTTTTTATTCCGCATAACTTTTCAATATCTACAACTTTTAATATAATCATAATTTCAAAATGTACATGTATTTGTGAAAAGTAAAGATAAAGTTATTCTCAAGGTCCCGTATATCCACAAATAATTCCTGTTTTGAAAATTTCATCCTTGTAAAAGTTGTAGATCTTGAAAAGTTATGCGAAATGAAAAAAAAAATCGCTACGATCGGATACCCGAGTGCAAAGTTACGTTCGTTTGAAGTTTCGGCCGAAGTTAGTAGTTGATCGGAAAAAAAAAAAAATTTGGACCAAACCGCCGGGTGGGGTGGCGGTTTTGGGCCACCCAGCGGTTTGGTCCAATTTTTTTTTTTTTTTATAACCGGCCCTTAGCCCCGCGGTTTGCATAGAAAACCGCGCCCCCGACAAGCGGTTTTCGTGTAAACCGCAGGGTGGGGTGGCGGTTTTTAAAAAAGGTGGTATTTTTGGAATTTTTTGGAGTTGGGTGGTATTTTTGGAATTCTTTTTTTAAACAGTGGTATTTCTGGAAAAAGTCCGGAGAGATGTGGGGATAACATGATGTAATTTTGTGGTTGTGTGATGTAATTTTTTTTTGTGCTTTTTTGGTTAAAAAATAATTTTTTTTGGAATGTTTTGCCACATCATCATTTTCTAACCAACTCGGAAGCTAGTGTGCCACATCAGAGTCAACTAACAGTTGACCGAATGGAAAGTTAACGGTTTGGAGATTAAATTGTTTTCGAAAAGGTTTGGTTGACTATTATATTGTTTAAAACGAAAGGTTTGATTATTAAATTGTTTTTACCCAATTTTTTAATTAACCTGGTATTTAGGGAAAAAATCGGCCTTCCTCGATGGTGAGATTTCCCCAAGCTGCTCCCGTCCCGTTACTGGCAAGGCTAGCCTCAGCGAATCTCCCAAGCGCGCCTCCTTTCGTCGTGCATCTCCCGCCTGCTCAGCCCCCTTGACTACCGACTCCATTCCATTCCATCAGTCGTTTTTAATGTCAGGTGTCAGCTCGAAGACGAACCAACTCCGTCTCATGCTCCTGGGCCTAGCGCTGTTGCTCATCTAGCTTCGTCATCCTCTCCTGCTGTCGATCCCGAACCTCCAAGAGCTGCTGACCAATTTCTTTGTCTATGGATTGGTGGCATCGGGCGGCATGGTAGATGGCGGCGTTGCTCGGCGACTCTCCCATCGTCTTAGAGTTGCTCGATGAAAATGACAACGAGCGACCGATGAGAGGAGGTGGCAATGGGGGCAGAGCTTCCTCTGGCGGGTATGGAGGAGGCAGAGAAGGAGGTCATGCATCTCGAACTAGGCAAGCTTATCGAGGTTGGCCAGATGCCTCTTGCTGCAATCGGTGGTGACGAGGTTCTTCGAGATGCGATTATCTACTTCCCGAAAGGGAATTGTAGGCAGGAGTGGGAATCAATCGACGAGAATCAAGGGTATTTCAAGGTTTTCTCGAGAATCGTAGGCAAGCTGGCAACAACTCTCAAAGTCCGATAACGATTATGACAAGATTTTCTTCAAAGTCGAGATCTAGGGTTTCTGGAAAAAATCTCATGGTTGGTTCTGATTTAAAATGGGTATTTCATCCCCTGCCTATTCCAGATGCAGTCTTTCAGGTGGAAAAATTGTCCCCCGCTTCCGTCCGGAAGCGCCGTGATCTTCACCACCGCGGGGCTCCCGTTCAGATGCTCGTCCCATGTTCCTCTACCTCCTCCAGGGTGGATTCATGAATCACGAGCTTCGCTACTGTTGATGCCAAGCTTAGAGCAGCCTGCTTCAATATGTTTAAGGTCCGGAGAGCGCTGATTTCCTAAAGCCTTTAACCACCTCCAGCTCCGTGCGAATACCTGAAAAAAAGGTCCCACCGGGGGGGTCCTGGTTGGAACCTCCTCCGACGCTCAAATTAGTAACCTGAATGGAATAAAATAAATACGATGACGTTAGACCTGGTTCGGTCCAACGGTCGTAATTGAGCGTCGTCGGCTATTTAATGCCGCCGGTGGAGACTATCCACGATTCCATGGCTTAGTCCGCCAAATTGAGAGTGTGTTGGGTGTTTAGAGAGTTAACACGTTTTTGGGAGATCGGGAGGAGAGAGAAAACATTTTTAGAGAGAGAAAGTAGAGAGAGAGTGTATGTGTGAGTTGTGTTGTGTGAAGTAGTCGTAAGCGACTTATGTGGTGGTGTGTGTGTGACTTGTTGTTTAGAAAGGGGGAGGGGTGCTCCCTATTTATAGGAAAAAATAGTAGATGAATTCCTCAACTTACGTTAACATTCACCAACATTCTCCGCTATACTCCTATACTCGTTAATATTCTCTGCTATACCTCAATATTCTCCGTCATACACCAACATTCCTTATCAAGTATAGTATTTGAGAAAGTGTAAGGGTGTATGTGAAAGTAGGAGAAGTATAGATATGTAGTGGAAATTGAAGGAAAGAGTAGTGATGGAAATTGTATGTATGTGTATGCATGAACATGCATGAAAATGTAGGAAATGGTAGGGAGAAGAAGGAATTTTACGTAAGAGGGAGTGTGGAAAAAAATAGGAAGGGAGGGAGATGAGGTGGCGCCTGCCACTTGTGGGAGAAAGGGAAGGAAAGTGAAAGTGAAAGAAAGTAGGGGAAAATTGGGGGAATGAGGAGTAAGGAATGGTGTCTGTATCTTTCTCATGTGGACACATGTGGACAAAACAAATGGGTGAGAGGGAAAAGGAAGGAAGAATAAAACAAAAACAATGGTTATGGAAAAGTACAAATAAGAGGTTTAGGAAAAAATAAGAAAGTGAGTAAAGGAAAAAACAATAACAGTAGTTAAAGGAAAAAACAATGAAGGATTCTGATGGTATAATACAAATTTTCGGGTATTCCGGGTACCGCAATAATTAACAATTTATCGAGTGTATTAATGAAAGGGCAGGTGTTTAATATTTTTAAAATTTTATCGGTTAAGAACTGGGTCTATCAATTGCCCCCTTTACCGATAGAAAAATTCGGAGTTCGTCCGGACATTTTCTGACGGTAAGTTGGTATTAGACCCAGTCTCAAACGCTGCTCCTATAAATACCAGAGCGGAGGGAACATAATCCATTCTCCATTTCCCAGCCTCCTGCTCTCGTACTTCTCCTCCCATCTTTTCATTTCTCACACAGCCAAAGCAGTTCACTACCCACAGTAAACTCTTGTTTCAATATCCCTAAAGTAAATTCTCATTTTACCTTCAGTAAAAATGGCGAGTTTACCTTCATCATCACGAGATAATCAACATTTAATGATTATACCGCCTTCCACTGTTGTGGGGGCAAGAGGATCGGATGTCAGTGGGTCTCGAAATATAGCACCTAACCCACTGGGTTTTAATGTCTGCCCTTGGGAGGTGATGTATCCTCTTGGTCGAGTGCCTCCAGAGTACCCAGTAGGTGGCCTGGGACGTGGTTTTACGCAAAGTGAAAAGTGGTTACGTGAACTGTTGGTTTCGTATGGTATGCCTCATCACTCGAGTTATGCCATACCCAACAGACTTGTTTCGGCTGTAAGTCACCCATCATCATGGCGATCGCTTTTTCGTTCTTCTCTGGAGTATGGGTTTCGATTGCCCCTGCCTACATGGTTGTGTGTAGTAATGCACCGTAGTAAGCTTTCAATCGATTCTATTAGTCCTCGTTTTTGGACTTTCATCGCTTGTTTTATTCTGTCATGTCGTCGAGTTGGGGTTCCACCATCCCCCGAGTTGTTTTATGCTTGTTTTTCCTTTCGTCATGATCGAGTGGCTTGGGAACTGCACAAACGGAAGTCAGCCAATAACCTGTGCACTTCGCTGAGCCATCTGAAGGGGTCGTGGGAGACGGAATTTTTTTTTTATTTTCTTGCCCCGCCTAGTGAGTTTACCTCCGGAGGTATCACGGTTCCAGCTGACTGGAGTGAAGGAGTTACAGGTGGATTTCAGGATCCCGTGATTGAGGGAGAAATCGCTTTACAACATGATCGGCTTCTCCGGGAGATACCCATTGATATAAGTACTCCTGGGGCTCGAGCAAGCTTGTTTCTTGCTGTTTATGGTAAAGGTACGTCATTTTTTATAGTACTTCCCTTTTTGTGACCGTATTTTCTAACTGTAATGCTTCCTTGCAGATTACTCGCACTTTCAG